TGTGCAGGGACTGGGGGAAGGTGACTTCTGCTGCTGCGTGCACCTCGAGGCAAGCATGGGGTGGGTGTACCCCTGGGACCTGTGTGCGGGGCAAGGGCAGGCTGCTGCTGCAGGCTTGCCCCAAGTGTCAAACTTAGTTGCTACGGTACTAATTTCAGTGTAGTGTTCACTGGTGTACAATGCTGCTGAATTGCCAGTTACTACTAGTTTGTTGGTTGGTGGGTTTTGTATGTGGAAGTCTTCCCACTGTAAACTAAACTGAGGTTGCTAAACTATTTCATATGAGCCTCTGAATAGTGCTGACATTGGGTCACTTCTGATTCAGGCTATATTCAAGCCAGGTACCTAAAAATAAGCATCAATTAATTTTATCTTTTTAAGGGTGGCATACAGCAAAGGAAGCGTCTTTTGGCTACAGCTTAAAAGTAAAGTTTTCCCAAAAAAGATCCGTTTCCACACTGCAAATATAACCACTCTTTGCTTTCCCCCAGGATTGCATGTTTATAATGAAAATGTCCAAAAGATTATTACAACATAAGAAATACTCACGAACAACCTTTTGACCCAAACATCTCTAAATGAATTTGCATTTATTGAATTTTTTTGTCCAAATTTTCTCAATGAAAAATAGCTTTTTGAGAAATTGAGGGGGGGGCAGGGAAATGTGCCACTTGTTAGATCTTCTGATGCTTTGACAAATATATTCAAGACAAACCATTTTCTTTCAAATTAATTCAAACACAATTTTTTTATTTGAATGAAATTGATAATCCCCCCCAATTCAATATTCTCCTCCCTCTGTGAAAATTGTTCATCCAGTTGTATTCAGCCAGAAACAAAACATTTTAATTTCAAATAATTTGATAAAAATGAGTGCCTTATGAAAACAACTGAACAAATGAATATTTTTTTATTCAAAATATTTTAAAAGATTTTTTTAAATTGTCCCTTTTAATTAATAACATCACACAAATATTATGTAAGAAAGGCTTCTTCCCCCACTTTACAGTGATAAATCATATAGTAATTGAGTGGCAGAGTTGGAATTAGAACCCAGAAATATTGCCTCTTATTTCTAGCCTCAGACCATTGTACCTTACTTTCAGACAGGAATCTACAGAGGGTGAGACTGATTCTACTACCATACCATATGTCTAAAGAAATTTCATTTCAATAATGTTGATCTTGGGCTAAGTGATCTACTAGGCTTACTTTTGAATTGTTAGTCAAAGCATTATTTACTCTTCTTTTTTTTTCATTTCTTGTACATTAAATGATATTAAAAATCAGACAATGATAAAAAGATCTCTTACTACCCTAGTTCAGAGACTTTATTTTCATGTAAAACCCTTGCTCCAACCCCATTGTATATTTTAACTTCCCAATGCTTTAGACATCAGCTGATTGTCAGTCTTGGCCCTGGGGCTGTACTGGAATCTTTAACCAGAGCCCCATGCACTGAGATATCAGAAAACCATGTGTAGGGGTGGGCTGCACATGCAGTTTTTAAAGGTCTTGATGCACAGGGACCCTAGGACCAGGGAACCTCTCCTCATTCCAGGGTCGCCATGCCTGGGATGTATTAAATGCCTTGCTCCACAACTCCCTGGGAGCTCTAAGGCAAAGCAGTCAACCTTCCAGATCATGAGGATGCCATCAGCTCCCCACAATCTGGCATCCCTGGCTCAGCTGATGAGGTCCCCTGTCTTGGCACCCTGAAAACAGTGTGGGACAGCTCCACCTAGGGCTGCACCACAGGGTTGTCAGCCTGTTGACATGAAGGGGTCTGTCAACTAAGATCCCCCATGAAGCCAGCATTAGGCTGCATGGCGGGGAGCCTGCCACATGTTCAGTTTAAGGCATGATTTGACATATTTTGTGGAATAATTTGGTGACTTGTTTCCCAATTTTGTCATGTCATTAATTGCCTGAACATATAGCCAGCTCACTTCTTGAGACACAGTTAACTGGTCAATCTTGTCTTAAGTGTAATGGTTGCCAGGGTCCTCAGGAACTGGGTGAGAAAGGAAGAAAACATCTTCCTCTTTACTTGGTGATTTCACTAAGTAATCTTTTTTTTTTTATTCATTCTAGTTTAAGCAGTTTGTAGCTTTACAATTCTCTAGCTCTCTAATCCTTTAACGTTTGCTATCTGATTGGTGAACACTTCAAATCTAGGTTTAGACTGTTTTTTCTGCTTCTAATCACAGAACCAGGTGGCAACCCAAAGGTGTTGCATCTCTCTGGAATGAAATACAACTCTTGCTTGGCTTATGCAGAGTGTCACTTCAGCATGATTTATAGAGAGATAATAAGGAACATCATGTCAGTGCTGTAAAATGTACCTGCTGAAGGACAGATTGATCAGTAGCCAGTGAAATGAATGAGGAAGCAAGGAGTTGTTAAAAGGTGTGGGTGTCACTCCTGGTTTCTCCTGCTGTTTTCCAAGGATAATTTTTTGAGGCCTTTGCTTTTTGTACTATAGGCCTCCTATACACGGATATCAAAGCTGCTTCAATGCGCTGTAATTGCAGCATGTCAGAGCAGATTCCAGCACCACTTGTATTAGTGTCTCTGCCCTGAAAAATGGTGGTGGAGGTATGTTAACTAAAGCTTGTTCGATGAACTTTAATTAAAGTGCCCAATGCCATTTTCCAGCACAGGGATGCTGATACATGTGATATTCAAGTTGCTTCAATTAGAGAGACTCTGGGAGTCACTCTAATTAAAGTGCCCCCACCCCTGCCTCCCAAAGCTTTTTATTTAAAGGAATAGGATCTTTTAATGTAAAAATGTAAATACCCAACCTACATTACAATGATTCAAAGTTGGGAGTAGAATCTGGGTTTTAGATATAATTAATCAAAAATCTACTGTTCTGTTGTTTTTTTAATGCCAATAGATAAATGGAGGACCCGGCAAACTATAGGCCAGTTAGTCTTACCTCGATCCTAGGCAAGCTGTTCGAGAAAATTTATTCTGGCACACATCCAGGAGGGGCCAGCAGGGGACTGCATGCTTAGGGGCAACCAGCACGGGTTCATCAGTGGCAGGTCCTGTCAGACCAACCTGGTGGCCTTTTACAATCAGATCACCAGATCATTAGATGCAGGGGTAGCAGTGGACATAGTCTTCCTGGACTTCTGGAAGGCTTTTGACACTGTCTCTCACCCCGGTCTCATTAAGAAACTGTGGGGCTGTGGTGTAGACACCCACACAGTCAAATGGGTCACCAACTGGCTGGAGGGCCACACCCAGAGGGTGGTAGTGGATGGGTCCTTCTTAACCTGGGAGGACGTGGGCAGTGGGGTTCTGCAGGGCTCGGTCCTCGGGCCTGCACTGTTCAACATCTTCATCAGTGATTTGGACGAGGGGGTAAAAAGCACCCTGTTCAAATTTGCTGATGACACTAAGATGTGGGGGGACGTGGGCACACTAGAAGGAAGCAACAGGCTACAATCAGACCTAGACAGGTTACAAGGGTGGGCGGATGAGAATAGGATGGGTTTCAACACAGACAAGTGCAAGGTGATGCACCTGGGGAGGAACAACCGGCACCATACCTACAGGTTAGGGAACTCCCCTCTTGTCAGCACGGAGGCGGAAAAGGATCTTGGAGTCATCATTGACTCCAAGATGAACATGGGTCGGCAGTGTGGGGAGGCAGTTAGGAAGGCCAACCGCACCTTGTCATGCATCCACAGATGCATCTCGAGCAGGTCCAAAGAGGTGATCCTCCCCCTCTATGCGGCACTGGTCAGGCCGCAGTTGGAGTACTGCGTCCAGTTCTGGGTGCCGCACTTCAAGAGGGATGTGGACAGCATGGAGAGGGTCCAGAGGAGGGCCACTCGCATGATCAGGGGACAGCAGGGCAGGCCCTATGAGGAGAGACTACGGGACCTGAACCTGTTCAGCCTCCAAAAGAGAAGGCTGAGGGGGGATCTTGTGGCCTGTTATAAACTAGTCAGGGGGGATCAGCAGGCATTGGGGGAGTCACTGTTCCCCCGAGCACCGCCAGGAGTGACCAGGAATAACGGTCACAAGCTGGCAGAGGGTAGGTTTAGGTTAGATATCAGGAGGCGCTACTTCACCGTCAGGGCGGCTAGGGGCTGGAACCAACTTCCAAGAGAAGTGGTGCAGGCTCCTACCCTGGGGGTTTTTAAGAGGAGGTTAGATGAACACCTTGCTGGGGTCATTTGACCCCAGTAGTCTTTCCTTCCATGGCCGGGGCTCGGACTAGATGATCTTCTCAGGTCCCTTCTGACCCTAGAAACTATGAAACTATGAAATGCATGCTCCCACATAGTTGTTCTGACGGAAAGAGATGGCTAGCCAGGAGGGGAGTACATGAGAACTGTAAATGCTTGATTCCCAGTAATGCATTTAATCTCTTACAGATAACATGAGGTAACATCAACAATATAATACTTAATACTGTCTAGACACTTTTAAGGCCAAAAATTTCAAACCTTTATGATTTTACACAGAAAATGAGAAACTTACTGCAAACTATATTTTTTTTAGAATTACCCCATATATGTTACCAATATATTAAATTGGGGCAGGCAGGGGAAGACACAACTAGAAAAAAATACTTTGTTAGCCATACATCTAGCATATTTTCAGAGGCTTCTAAATGAAAGATTCCTGTTAAATAAAACATTTCTTCTTCTTCTTTCTCTAATCAGCAAGGGAGGGAGCTCCTTGTGATGACTGTAGGTGTTGTAGGCTTGCTGCCACTGCCCTGAGCTTGCTTTCCTACAGGCGGTGACAGGGTGGACCTTGGCTTTGGATTACCTGGTCTGCCAGGAAGTCTATTTTATGTTTTCTCACCTGCCGTGACTTTGACGTTGTTATATTGCTAGAAGGCAATACCCGAGGAGATCCTACCAGTCTCAATCCCTGTTTCCTTCTGTGGGGCTCCAAAACCTCCCCTTTACCCCACCCTAGCCTCTCCAGATGACACTTGTAGTTCTCTGCAGCTAGATCGTAATATTGCCTTTCAGTCTATTATTCTGCACTTAGCCACCAGGGTGACTGTTGGCTTGGTTAGGTGCACACCCTTCCAGGGGTGGCCTTGGCCTGTATTCAAATATCCAAAGAAAACAAAAGAAAGCAAAACCCCAACTGCTCTCAGTCTTTTTGCCAGACTCAGTCCATGTCCCCTTTACCTGGGGTCAGGCTCTCGTGTCCCAGTCACAACAAAAAAATCAATTCAGTCACTGCTCTGCACAAGCCTGCCCTGACTTATTCATGAGCATTCACAGTCCCAGTAGGATTTCTCCCATGTGCAGTGAGGTTCTAACCTGGAACAGCAATTCTTCTGGCCTCTTCCCTGGATCCTCAGCTGTCACTCCACTCCAGGGATTATCAGTAGCCTTGTGTGTGCAGGCCTCTGCCTGCCTCCTTCTCAGGGTCACACTGGCAGGGTTCCTCCAGCAAGTTTCACAACATTTGCCTGCCAGGACGCTTGGCTACTCCTCTCTCTGGCTTGTAGGGAATTGACCCCTCTCTGCCTGAAATACCTTGGAGCAGCTTCCCTCCTCCAATCTGGAGTGAGATGCTGCTCTGGAAGTGTGGTAATTGCTTCTCTTCCCTTCTGGTCTCCAGCTGCAGCCCTGCCAGCCCTCCATGTTGTAAGTATTGCTTGGTTTCAACTTCCCTGTCTGTTACTGCTGGCTGTTTTTCTTCTCCTGACCTCCCCTGCCCAGCATGTAAGGCAACTCGGGGCTTCTGTTTGCTCTCTCTCACTCCTTCACACTCCTCATCTCACAAATACATATAAGAAAACCTAATTAAATGCATTGCATATCATTAAACTGCTGCCAAAAGCAGCATGTACTTAGTAATGGAAACTGACTATGAATTTGATTAAATGTAGCCAACACTGAGCATGACTTTAAAACACATGGCCCATGTGCTGACAGGAACCTACCACAAGAATAGGTTGGTACAACCCATCTGAATAAGATACATGGTAGTGTCTATTAAGCACAGTCCACCTCAGTGTTGAATCTTTTTTCAAGTCAAGGTGAGCTACTACAATGAATACATTTTTTACTTCCCCCTTTGCTCCCACAGTTGATCTGTGTCTTTCTTTCCCACTTCCAATGATTCCTGTTTCTACATTAGCTTTAAATGCCTGGCAAACAATGTCAAATAGGCCCCCAAAGAATTCACTGAGAATGCCTCTGTTGCCTCCTCTCTCCAGCTGTTGTATACAATTAGTGTGGCCCTGCCCTTTGAGGTGAAGCCAGACCAGGTTGCCTTGTGCCTCATCTGCATACAAAATTATAGAGGATCCCAGGACTTGTGACAGAACACCCAGTCATGAGTGGGGGGCTAATTAGCACATGGATTCTTTGTAGGGGAGGGGGATATCTGAGGAACACATATGCTGAGCTGTGCATCACCATGGCTTGAAATGTTGTTGACTCTGCTGGGGCCCAACCCAATGAACTATATGGTAAAACGTAACCCTTTTGGCTTTGGACTAATATCATGCATATTTGTATTATATAAAAGTAGATGCCAAAGTGTTACTTAAAAGTATGTTTATGGAGTGCTAAAACCTGCACAGTTTCAAAAACACTGAAATACATTAATTCTGGATTAAATAAATCTATGGGTACTTTATGCAAATGACTACAGCTGTGTTTATTTCAAGGTTTTGTTTTTTTTTTAATTTGCTCCTCATTTTCTTATGCTCAGGGAGAGCAGGGTCTGACAAAGGTGGGAGGAAGGAGCTGCAAGAGAAAGAAGTTGTGGGAGGGGGGGAGGAGGAGCAGAGGGTGAAGGGGCTGCCTAATCCCCCAGATCTATTTCTCCTGCTGTAGCAGTGGGAAGGGGGAAAATTCCAGACAAACCTCCAATAATTAGACTCTATACCTGGAAGATTTATATCAAATTTATAATTTTTCCATATATAGAGTCTCATTATTGGGGGTAATCTTATAATCAGGGTCATCTTATATTTGAGTAAATAAGGTCATTTCTTACTGGAAACTTGGTTTTACTTTTTTCATTTGGTAAAAGTGACAGCAGGCACTCCATCAGAACCAAAAACAGCATGAAAAAATATTTGGGAACCAATTCGAACTATCATTTCAATTATTTAAGATGGTGATTCTCAACCAGGGTAGCATGGCACCATAGGTTGCCTTAAGATCTTTTTAAAGATGCTGCAGGGTGCCATGAAATGTTAGCACAGTTAGGTGTGCAGACCTGATTCTCAAGGTAAATTCAGATATTTCAAATAGGAATCCACTGTACAGCACTGAAAAGATTCTGACCTGTTGTGGTCTTCCTGAGTTGTTTGCAACAAATGAATTGCTCTATTACATTTCTACAGTCAAAAATGAGTGAAAACTAAAAATGGGCATTTTGTAAGGGGTGCCTTGAGTCCAAAAAGGTTCAGAAATACTGATTTAAGAACTGAAGTGCCCCCTGTATATCTGTAGTTAAAGTTGTTTTTCTGTTCCATTGATCTCACCTTTCTCTATCAACAGCTTCACAATGTTAACCTTGTCGTGGACTTGCTGACAGATGAAGGAGTTCTAAATGTTCCTCTCAACCCTGAAGGTGAGTGATAAAGATCTTGTTCTGGAAGAGAAATGGTAATTCATTAAATCAATTGCAAAAGCTTCTTCAACACGACGCCCATGCACTATACAATATTTCCTTTTCTGCACATTGCCTCACTTGCAGTTGATATTAAGAATGTCACATTTAGTTTAACTTTCTTTCTGTCTACACTAGCAACAGTTCTACTGATGTAATACCTCCTGGTTAGTAAGCTGCCAATTTTTAAAACCAGACTGAAATGATCTAAAATACATTAGTCATTGTTGAAATTACATTTAGGAATAGAGCCAGGTGGGAAACAATTTTTCTGTCTCTCAAAAAGATTTGATATTTGAATTTGCTGTCTGTGTGTGCATGTGTGTACATGATCGTGCATGTTCTGTGTTGGGCTAATAACCTTCTAAATGCCTGGGGGGTTTCATGAAGAATCAGGGAGAGACCCACCCTGAAACAGCCAAAAGGTCAATGAGTGGTGCAGTCATGTGGGCTGTGGACCATGCTTGATTCAGAGCTGAGATACTGCAATCAGTTTCCCATGGCTCTGGTGCTCTAATCTCCAGTATTGGATGTTCTCAACTGGTCTCTCTTCCTGTCATTGTGACTGGTATATTTGTTCCCTGAAGGGTCCAGTTTGGAAAAAAATCAATGTTTTTGATGAAAAAACATGTAAAAATTCCAACCACATTTACTTGGTAATAAGAGTATCTGTTGTGGGGCCCTGTTTCCAGAATCATGACATAAATGGATTCATAGATTTTTAAAGCCAGGAGAGACTATGAAGGTAATGTTTCTTGACATCTTGCATAACACGGACCATCTAATTTTAGCTAATCATATCAGAATACAGTACAATAACTAGTTGATGAACTGGAGCATGCCTATTAGAAAGACATCAGGTCTTCATTTAAAGATGTAAAGTTTTTGGTATTTCATGTTTTCCCTTAGTACACAGTTCCAGAGTTTAAAAAAATGACATTTTTCTAGTTGGATGGTTCATTCACAGACAGTCGTTATGCATGTGTGCGAGTGTGGGCATGCATGCCCAAATGAAAATACAGACAAGCATGTACACATCTCTCACATGAGGGTCTTCCATTTGTAAATGCATTTGTTGTGAAGACCTGGTCAAAAATGTATGTAGAAGAATGTAACAGGAAACCCTAGCCCTGTTTCCAGAAAGTAGGCTGGACCCTCTAGGACCAGAACTTTCTGGGCACAGCCTGCTGGCAGGGTAGGGGTTAAAACCTGAGCCTTACCAGCTAGTCAGGTAACCAGAAGGTGGGAGGCCAGAACTATAAAAACCCTGGGCTGAACTAAGGTGGCAGAAGGGGTGAACTGCTGATGACTCCCAGAGAAGCTGTGGCAGCCCCACAAGAAGGAACATAGGGAAGCAGAAGCACAAAGCCATGGAAAACATGAGCTGGCATACTGCCTTCCTTAATTTCATTTTTTTTTGGTTATCACCCATGGACTTACTGTTTGTGTTTGGCTAGTAAACCAGTGGTTTGTGGTCGAGGCTGTAGGAGAGGAGGAGGCCTTGTTAGTGCCTTGGGGCACAGTCATAAAAGGCCAAAGGGCCTGGTGCACTAGTGGGTGTAGCCATATAGGGCCGGTGGCCCAAAGCTGGCTGCAGGACTTTGAAGCCAGGTCCCAGTGGGTGGACCTTGGCTAGTAGCCTGAGCTATAAAAAAGGGGCCAAGCCTGAGGAGGCAGAGGAACCAACAACTTGGCACCCAGGGACACAGTGTGAAAGGGGGCCAGAAGGCCTGTTGCCATAGTGAGCACAAAAGGAGGGCCATGGGCCCAGAGAGTATTAAGGAGCTAGAGCCTTGGAGTCGAACCCTACCTGGTGGGTTTAGGTTGGCAGGCCTAGCTAGAGAAAGACGGGGTGGGGGAAAGTCCATGGTGGCTGAGAACCCTAACATAGAAGTACAACAGGTGGTCTCCTGCTTGTAAAAATATCTAAACAATATTTACATCAAGATGTGGAGGATGAGTAAAGATGGGTTACAAGACAAAATACAGAAGTGAAGTATTAAGCGACTTCAGGGGTGTCTCTCATAGGTCACTAGAATGCTGCTGGGGAGGACAACCTGTTACAAAGAAATACAAGAAATTTTGTTCAGATGTTTTAGGTTTAGATTTTTTTTTGTATTTTTTCCAAACAGCTCTACTGGTAGGGCACGGTCATTCTTTTCAATGAACAAAAATTGTGTGCATGCAAAGAAGAATTTAGTGGCTTTATACCATGTGAAATCTGGAATTTTGTGAACCATTCTAGTTAAATTGTGAAAGCATATTCATCTTCAGTACATATTTTTGTGAGTAGGTCAGAAGCAATAGACATCCAGTTCTCTAAACATGTAGGATGACTTCAGATACGATGTCTTCTGATGATTACTGGAGGAAATTTAACTCCAACATCTGTATGTCATTTATGTATGGCATGGGCTAAATCATCAGCCAACTTTAGAATTTAATGGAATCAAATGGTATTTAATGAAGCCAGGCTGTTTCTACCAGGTTCAGTCAGTCTGAATACTGATCCACCTTCAATGTAAGAAGAGCATCAAGGTCTCTAGGTATCTCCACATTTGGTAAAGTAGCAGTTTGGGTTGCAAGATAATTTCCTTAGCTGATGGAAACCTTTTATTAAATTGAATTTAAATTATGACTGGATAGCAGTATTTTGTACCCTTCCAGAATATGGAAGCTGAGAATTGCAGTGTTCAAAAACCAAAAAAATAAAGTGCAAACATTTGAAAAACAGGGAATAAAGAGTTAATGTAATACCTGCTATCACTCATACCATGGTACACTCATAATAAAACTATAGGTGTAAAGTCCTATTAAATTTCTAGTCTTTTCTGCCAGTGTAGTTATTTTTTACTATATAATATATGTCCTTTCTCCAGTGATGTCTCTCTAATTGAGTTCAGAAATCATGAAAACCTGAAAATCCTCTTTTGCTTCTTACTCAATTGCTTTGTCTAAATTTACTTTATAATTTGAGAACAGTGGAAGATGGTGTTCATTGCTTTGACAGTTGGCATCTATCTATTTCAAGGATTTTTAATGTTTCCCATCTGGTTTGTTACTTATGTATCCACAGATATCATGCACAGAGATGTGAAGACTATACTGAAGATTTTATATTGCTTGTATTCCAAATACAAGACCAGAAAAAGTGAAGACTGAAAGCAAGACATAGATTTTCATCCTAGTGCATTATAGGATCATTTTTTTCGTTTCCAGTTGTGTTTGCCACTTTGCACGTATATCCACCTGTGCCTGATTTGCCTGCAAACATGTGTTAATGAAACATGTATGAGTGGAAAGTTGCACTTATATAACTTGGGCTGCCAGCAATAGAAATAGGCTTGGTAGATTTTGATTTTGATTTTTTAAAAATAATTTTGAAATAAATGCTTTAAAATAAACATTAATATTATCCATTGCTTTTCATCAATTTAAGTTAAATTAACAATATAGAGGTCTTCTGCTTCTGGGATGGCAAAAAACCTAAGAACCCTAAAAACAAAAAAAAACCCAACGAAAAAGCAAAGACAACACCAAAACCTGTATCTTTTTAAATTGGAATCTTTCTCTTCACATACCAGTTTCACGAGTAGGCTGCTTTGCTTCTTTTTACAGTCTCTCCTCCATTCTCAGCAGCTGAGTTAGAATCATGGAATTGATGGACCAGAAAGGACCTGTAAGATCATCAAGTCTGGTCCCCTGTCATGGGGTTACTGGGTTCAAATGAGCTCAACAAGGTGCTTATGCAGTCTCACCTCCAAGGATGCCAACTGCACCACCTCTGCTGTGCTCCAGATTCTGGTAACCCTTACGGGGAAAAAAGTTGGGGTTTTTTTTTTATGTCCAGGCTAAATTTTCCCTCTATTTGCTTGTGCCCATTGGTCCTCATCCTCCCCTGAGGTGCTTTCCTGAAGAGTTGCTCCCCTAGATCTTGATGCTCACCCCTTACATATGTGTAGGCAGCTATCAAGTCACGTCTCGGTCTTCTCTTACTCAGACTGAACGGGCCTAGTTCCCAGAGGCTCTCCTTAATGGGCCTATCCTCTAGGCCCCTGATCATATGGGTGGCCCTTCTTTGTACCCTCTCAAGCCTATCTTCATCCTTTCTTAAGTGCGGTGCCCAGAACTGGACACAATACTCCAGCTGTGTTGTCCCACTCAGGTGTCAGGAACTCCCTGTTGCTGCTTCCCATGGCTTCCTCCATAGCTGCTGCTTCTGTTTCTGCTCCTGCTAGAATCCACTTCCCCCCATCCCCCTCCCCCATCTGGTCTTCGGGTAGGGGTTTAGGTAGCTTGTCATTGCCCTCCAGCCCATTTCCCAGCACCTTGTGAACAAGTAGCTAATTGATTAATTGACAGGTCATTAGGCTGCCCCCTCTTCCTCTTTAAAGAGACTGGCCTGCTATACTCTGGCCTGTGACTCCCTTCTGTTCTTCCCCTCTGTTTTTGATTATTAATAATGGAAGTATTTTTTCATTGGTCTGTGAGTGAGGTGAAATCACCATTTATTGCTATTTATTGATAAAAATCAATTCCTGCCAAGTCTAAATATAATTTTGTCTGTGTGTATTCAGGGGCCAGCTTATTCAGCAGTACTATGGCTGTGAATTTTACCATAGAATCCATCCTTTGCTCCATCATAGGCTCTGAAGCTGCTCTGAGCAAATGCTCATTCTAGTCCCCTCCTTTGCCTTGCTCCTCAGCTTGCCACCAGCAGGAGTATACCCAAAGAAGTCCCCCTCTTGCTATAAAGCCCCGGTCCCTGCAAAGCAGAGGCAGGCCATGCTGGAACAGCGGGGGAAAGGTGGACAGGAAGGTGGTGGTGGGGTGTTGCAAAAGCAAGCAAGCTCATCCAGAGTATTGGGGAGATGCTTGCTGTCGATGGCCATCCCTTCTGGAGTCAGAGGGAGCAGGGAGATATTTTCATAATTTTCTGTCTGTCTACTAAGCTCACTGCAAAAGCATAGAGGTGGCTGCAGACACTGGGTCTTCCTGTGAAGACTTGAAATGGGTACATAGCCCACCACTGAAGAAAGCCTGTATTTAGGGTCAGTCACAGATGGAAGGAGTGACAAGTAGGGCTGTGTGAAATTTCGCCGCCTGTTTTTGTTTTGGCACTGTTTCAGCCATTTCAACCTCAAAACAGCAAAGTCAAAATGGAACAGGCAGGCTCAGAACCGGGTTGAAACAAAATGGGGCGGGTGGAAATGTTTTGAACAATTTGAAAAGTTTTGCATTTCAGCTGGGGAGCTGGGCTATGGGCTTACCTTCACCGGTTTGACTTGCTTTCCTGTAGGGAAAGAGAAAGTAAAGTGATGGGGGAAGGTGGCGGGGAAGGAGTGCTCTCATTATTGACGTGTAGCTGGCCAGTGACTGTTGCCCTTCCCTGAGGTCCCTTCCAACCCCAGTGCTCTGGGGGAGGGACAGAAAAACTGCATAAAAGGCAGCATTTTTTAAACTGCCCCTGCTTTCTGCTTTGGGGTCACTTACTGAACTGTATGTTCTAGCAGGTCACCATCAAACCACTACAGCTAGCAGCACTGATTTTTCTAAAGGATTCCCTACTTGCTACCCTAGCAAGAGGGATTTCAGAATACCTTTTTCTTGTCGGTGCTTTTATTTTATTATTGTATTCATTGATTTATTCTTTTGAATTTTATACTTATATTAGATAGGGTTACTATAGAATTTACTCTTTATAAGAATATATATATTTGTTTTTATACGTACATTCTTTGCACCACACCAAGGCTATTGAGTTTATACACACAAACACAGATATATTTATATCGCATTGATAAATCTCATCACTGAATCACACCTACAGTTTTCAGCTTATGTAGGAACGCAAATACTTTATATATGTCTTGAAAAGGAAGACATGAAACACATCATGAAGTGTGGTGGGAAGGCAGGTGGCCATACTGGCCAGCTTTCAGGGAGGGGTGGAAGAGGGGGTAGAGGGAAAGCTGTAAGTTCCCCTCCCACTAAAATGAGACACAGCCTCTTTCCTCCGGCTAAAAAGGATGAGGCTACTACAAGCAGCAAAGAGAGGGGAGCAGTGCCACTGCCAGTGCCTGTGCCCAAGACTACATCCCCTCCATGCTCAGCAGCCATAACCCAACCCACCTCCCACCTCCACCATGATGACAATCACAACCAGCAGCAGCAGCACAGCAGTCTACTCCACCCCTATGTCACTTCCCATGCTGAGCCTTCCAGTGCCAGAAGAAGAGCTGCTGCTGGATCTGGATCTCAGTGCCCTAGCAAGGGAAATTCTGGGGAAGGAGGGGGAATCAGGTGAGTTTGTGCTTGAGCTGGCAGATGATCCCATGTACGCTATCTGCCTGCACTGTTGAGCCAAAACCAGCCGGAGCAAGGGAACAAAACACATGAGCACCATGGGGATGCTGATGCATCTCCATCCCTGCAAAGCAGAGGCAGGCCATGCTGAAACAGTGGGGGAAAGGTGGACAGGAAGGCGGGGGTGGGGTTGCAAAAGCAAGCAAGCTCATCCAGAGTATTGGGGAGATGCTTGCTGTCAATGGCCATCCCTTCTCCTTCGTTGAGCCACCAGGGTTCAGGCAGCTCATGGCACTTTTGTGGTCCCATCATACCAAGTGCCTGCACACACCACCTTCAGTACGACAGTGATGCCATCCCTGTATGCCATCCCTGTGTGAAGCATGCATGGAGTACTTGAGGGAAGAGCTGCGTAAGGCAGGTCTGCAGGTGGCCTTACACTTCACCTCAGACATCTGGAGCAGCTGGGGTGGAGATCATGCCTACCTCTCCCTCACAGGGCACTGGTGTGACTAGGCAGGCCCTGGTGGGCTCTCCTTCAAGCCAAGGTGATGGATGACTCCCACACAGCAACAGAGATCATGGGGGCCATGAACTGATTGGTGCAGGGGTGGCTTGCTGGGCAGGGTGAGCTCTCCCACAGGTTCATGGTCACTGACAATGGGGCCAATATGGTCAAGGTGGTCCATGATGCCAACTTTGGCATCTCCTGTAAGTTGCACCTTGTCAGGGACACTTTCGAGGGGGAGAGGGCTGCCGGTGATGGTGCTGCCGCTACCAGCAAGCTAATTTAAAAATGCAGGGAGGTGGCAGGCTACTTCCACTGGACCATCAAGGGAGGCAAGATGCTGTGGGATAAAAGGAGCTGAACATCCTGCAGCACAAATCATGCAGGATGTGGAGACTCAGTGGAACTCCACATACCTGATACTCAAGAGGCTGGTGGAGCAACAGAAGAACATCCATGAGATGGCCTTGCTCAGGGACATCGGGATCAGCGGCCCCCTGAACAAAGCTGAGTGGGACACCATCTCCCGTATCTTGGTGGTCCCCAAGCCCTTCCTTGAGGCCACCGAGAGCCTCAATGCTGCTGATCCACATAGTGAGGGAACTTCAGAGTCAAATGGAGAGCTTCCAGGGGATCAATGTTCCTGGCTGGGGCAGGCCGCTGTCACCAGATGTGCAGGCGCTGGTGAGACGGCTGAAGGAGGGCATAAGGAAATGGCTTGATCCCTTGCAGTCCGGTACAGTCCATGTGCTGGCCACCATGTGTGACCCAAGGGTGAAGGGCACTGTATGTGGCAGCCAAATACTGAATCAGTGGACAGAGGTGTTGGTAAAGAAAGTCAGGGAGGCAGAATGGCGGAGGCGGTGGGACATGGGACAGGGGGATCCACTGTCTCATGCTAGCATGCCATCCACGAGCCAGTCTTGTTCTCCACCACAGGTGCTGCCAATATGGGCTAAGGGCATGGCTTCTATGGTGGGGTCCAGAGCCACCAGACTCCAGCTTATGCATTTTTGGGTGCCTATCTTGCCGAGAATGTGGCGCCACTGCTGTGTGACCCCTTGGCCTACTGGGCAAGCCGCAGCCCTGTGTGGCCAGATCTGGCCGCAGTTGCCCATGAAAACCTGTTCTGTCCACTGACCAGTGTTCAAAGGGAGAGGGTGTTCAGCTTTGCTGGGGATGTTGTGACACCCCACTGCACCTGCTTGGATGCTGGTTTGGTGGAGCAGCTGGTGTTCCTGAAGGTGAACCTCCCACTGCTAGGGTTCCCCAAGATCCAGGTGCAGATGGATTGAATGCCACCCTCCTTACTCTGTCCATATCTATTTCCTTTTTTGACTTTTTTTAAAAACCAGGTAATGCCCTGCTCTCAGCAGGAGGGGGCACTAACTGCATCACCAGTCATCAAAGGAAGAACATGTCCCTACTGAACTTGTTCCCCTGCCAGGATGAACTTGGAGGTGTGGGATGGGGCTATAGGGAAGGAGGAGGCCCCAAGTCCTGGTCATGACCACTAAAACTGCACCCTGCCTGGGTAGGGAGGCCTGGTGGGACTGCTGGTGGCGTGGCAGCCTCATAAAT